TTAAGTAGATGATTGGTTGTCCAAATAACATTTACTAACAATTCATACCATCTGCAATGGTTTTAAATGCCCCTTTGTCACATACCCTGTATTCTAGTACAAGGATGTTTTCTGGAGGCTATTCTCTTCCCTTGACCTTCTTGCCTGTGCCTAAATTGGTATCACACTATTTTAATTACTCTAAATATGTGTTTTCTTGCCTTGTAGGTATATTAACCAAACATGACATACTCAATTTGGGTAACTTGACAGTTTAATCAAAGTACTGTTTATTTAACAAAATGTGGTAGAATTCAGGGAAACCAAAAGGGCTCGATCACCGCCCTGGGCTGTTAACTAATGTCCTTAAGTACAAATAGACAAAAAGAGGGAACTTTTGTCAGAAACCAAAGAACAGAATAATGTGGAGAAGGCAGGCTTGAGAGCGGCAGTGCCTTTGGTGGAAGGAGTGGTGGGAATAAGTATGCAGACCTCATTCTCCTCCCATCCTCCTGTTTCCTGCCAGCATTCCCTGTTGGCTGAATTCAATCAGAAGTGAGAGGGCAGGGGACCTGGCAATGTGGACCCTACAAGCCAGACCCCAGGGCACAGAGTAAGGCAAAAAGTGTGGACAGTGGATCTGCAGGGCAAAAGAAAGAAGCTCAGCACATAGGAAAAGCCTTCACTCAAAAATTTCTTGGCTCTTCTTGCATATATACTTTATCAGTGACCACAGTCATGCCATACTATTTAACATTAAAACCAGCCTGTGTACTTAGAGCCTCTTCCTATTTTGTCTGTTTGTGCTTACTTTGTAGTAGCTGTTCTGTTTATTTGGAACCAGTTCCCTTGTCTGTTTCCTTACATCTGAAATCCAATAGAGTCACTTGGAATCCCCTTTCTGTTCCTCTAATCCATGCCAAGCAGTTAGATTCTAAAGCCCTACTAATAAACAGAACTCCTACTTTTTGTTAAGACTCTTAGACAGTAAAACCATTTTGTGTAGTAGACATCTTTTTGTGTAGTAGACAACACTGTGTTGCTTGTGGTCTTTGAACTTCATTAGGGGTGGAGACTGGATTTCCTTTCATCTGCCCATGTGGAGTGTGATTATTCTGAGGCTACATCCAGTCTGACTAGTGTTGGGATGAGTTGAAGGTGTCTGCTATGGCCATAGGAATGAAGAGCTGCAACATGTGCTGCCTGCATGTACTCTCCTGGCATTACGCATGGGCCTTTGGACCACTTTACTGTTATCTTGAATAGCTGATTTTCCCCTGGTACCTCCCACTGTAGTCTATCTCATTTTTGGCTGAGTCCCAATAGCACATCGAAAGAGGAGAATGTTTTAGTCTTTTATAGAATAAAGGGAGCTCAGGTTTTGAAACTACAACTTGAAAAAACCATATTCTAACTTATTAGAGAAATTTAGAATCGTGGGAATCTAAAATTTGATCCTGTGAAGATAATTTGTAATCAGTTGAGAGAAAAACCTGAGAGGTTTTTTTAAAAAGAGGAGGGGGGGACATTCTCCCCTGACCACTCTTATTGTATTTCCCATTAAGAAACTTGTACGGTGTTAAGAGTGGAAGGGACTGTCAATGCCATTGAATCCATCTCCCTTCCTTTACAGATGAGGCTGCATACTCAGGAAGGGGATGATTTGTGGACACGGTGGCCAGTGATAGAGTTTGGTGTGAGAATCTTATTCTCTGGAGCCTCTGTTCTATCCATTGTACCAACTTGACTTTCTAGTATAGATTCTAACCTATTGTCTTTTCATGTGGGTTTTGGTTAGCTCTCGAGCTAGATGGGAAGCAACTTGAAGGCAGTAACCAAGTCCTGTACTTTTAAATCCATCACAGTACATGCTTTGCACACTGGCTGAGTTCATTATAAGTCTATTGAATTGAATAGATCAATGTTCTTTGAAGAATTAATGACAGGACAAAAGGAGTTAGAGAAGACAAAGGCACTAGAGAAATTAATTGTTGACAATATTTAGTTGGGAAAAAGACCCACAGTATTCTAATAAGTTAATGATCTTTTTGAGGATTATGTTGATGATTAATTCATCATTCAATGGAGGCCAATGTAAGAAAAAAAAGACTGTATGAGCAAGTTAAGCTGAGAAATGCTTGTTTTTAGAGTGGGTGGAGGGAGTTCTTATTTTGAGCAGATAGAGACATTCTCTGGGTCTCTTGCAGTCTGAGTGGGGAGTACTGAGCAAGAGGAAATATGTTATGGACTGATAATAGGGATGTGGCCATACAGATAGTATTTCCAGAGAAGCTTTCAAGCAGATACATTTCTTCCTGTTTTTACTTTTTCAGGAGAGATGTTCAAGCATTTCTATTTTTCTTTTCATTGAGTTTCCCTGTGTTGGTGAATGTGGAATGACTATGTTGGAGTTGAAAGTGCAGAGGGATCTCCTTTCTTAATTCCTGAGTGCTCTGTGGAGGAGTAGGAACCATCTGGATGTTGGAAGAAGAAAGTCTTAATGAGCTCCTTTTTGTTTTGTTCCAAAGATTTTTGAGTTGATTGTTAAATTCACTGTAACTTAGCAGCCTGCCTTTCTTTTATGTGGTATAAAGGGAGGCGATTCCAGGGCTCTGTGATGAATATATGCACCAGCAGCTGTTACTCTGTTTTGACTCACTCCCCACATCCACAGCCCTGCCTGTGTCTGCTGTGGGGAACTCTGACCCATCCTTTTTGTCCAGGCTGCTTGATCTACACTGTTTCCAGGTGGCTTGGCCCTCTTCTGAGACAGGCACCAATTGCAGAGATCATAGTGGGCTGACTTTTGAACAGGTTTTCAACATTGTGCTTTGCAAACCTGCTGAGAGATGTGTTCCTTTCATGTTTCCATTCCATCTGTCTCTTGAAAGGGCAAAGGGAGGGTCTTCATGTGACCAGGGGCTATTGATGTTGGTTGCAAATTCGTTTCAAATTAATTTCTACATTTTTGTCACAGGTGTCAAACAGCCATTATATGTCCTTGATCTTGACATTGCTCTAGCAAGGCTGTCAGTGAGAAACAAGAAGAACAATTTCTGTACACTCCCTAAAGCAAGAACAAAAGAGAAGTTATCATGCACCGTGGGAGTTACGTTAAATGCCGTTGGTTCTTTCCTTTTTATAAGATTGGGTCCTGGGTAATAGCACACGTATCAGAGGATTGTATTAGTTATTTAGTTGAGCTTCTAGTGGTACCTCCTCAAGCAGTCATAATACATTTATTGACTACCCACTGTATGCCAAACACTGTGGGGTTTCAACAACACCATTTCCTAGTCTCACAACCCTATAAGATAGTTGTTATCACTGTATTATAGATGAAAAGCAAAAAACAAACAAAAACAAAACCTAAGGCAACATTTTAGCCTTCTTTCCCCAAATTCCTGTCACTTATGTATGTATATGGGAGATGCCTTTGGTCTACTGAGTCTCAAGTTTTCTCAGTTCGCATTATACCGGGGAGCCATAAGTGAGACAGACCTATCCTGCCACCTGTCATGTTTTATTCGAACATGGCCACACCCATTTCTTTACTTCTTTTCTAGGGTGGCTTTCACACTATAGTGGCAGAGCTGAGTAGTTGCAACAGAGACTAGATGGCCTACAAAGCAGAAAATATTTAGTATCTGGACCTTTAAGAAAACTTTGACGCCTGCACTCTATACCATTGCTGATAGTGGTCATGTCATTAGCAAACAGGACAGTTTTTCTGGCTGTACATTGCAGGTATAAAAATCCAGAGTCTATCATCTGCCTCACTTTTTTTCCCCCTTTTTCTTTTATTTTGTTTTCTAAATATTTTTGTTATGATTCTTTGGAGGTAGTGGCTTTTACTTTTGAGTCTAAATGCCAGTTGGTAATAGTTTGATTTATTTATTTAGAAATTTCCTGTCAGGAGTCTTGTAATAGACTGTTTGAGATTCTAAATGGTTTCATGAAGCATAAATTTTTCAGTGGGCCTTTCTTTCTTGAGAGCGAAAAAGTCAGATAATGTAATTGTGTGATGTTTAAGCAAGTTCTGCTGCTTTCGTTTTGAAAGGCGAAATGTCCCAGTGTTTTTGCCTTATGTTAATGTACTCTTGCATAGACAAATTCTATTCAAGATGGGATTGAGGAAATACTAATATCAGTTTTATGCGCCTCAGGTTTATTGGAGTGTTGCCTAGAAGGAAGTCATTTGTAAGGCAGCAGTTTTCGAATGTCATAAGTTTTCAAGTGTACATAAGAAACACTTTAGGGTACTTGTTTAAAAAGTAGGTTTTCAGACCCTCAGCCCAGGAGATTCTGAATCAGTAAGTCTGCTGTAGGTGCCTGACATGCTTATGAAGGAAAGCTGGTTTGGGGGGTAGTTTCATGGCTCAGTGCTGTGAATCTAGGTAGCAAACAAGGATATTATCCATGTTTGGTTTTTTAACCCTGGTTCAGTATACCTTGGAATGTGATGTAACTATAAACCTTAAATGTTTAAGTATAACATAACAGGAAATAAAATTATGCTGCTGTAAATGTATTTTAACTACTTCTTCCACTACCACTAATAATGGCAATAACATTTTATGTTTATGCTTTATGGTTATAGAGTTCCTCATTACACACATCTAATTTGATTTTTATGCCAACCCTTGAGATAGATGTGGCAGATGGTATAATTTTCATTTATCAGTGAGAAAACTAAGATTTAGAAAACTAGTAATTTTTTTCCCCTAACATGGCACAGCTAGTAAGCAGTACATCTAGAGTTCCCATATAGCATTTAAGTTCTAGTCCAGCATTACGTCCAGTGTACCATAGTGTCCTTATGAAACTGTTTTAATTTTTACAGGAAAATATAATCATTTTATAACTCACTGCCTTCTGATAGGAAGGATGAGCTGTTAAATACTTTGGGAGTCTCCTGTAGGTGCCTCAGTGTGGAGGTGAACACAGATGTATGCAGATTGGTGATTCAGTGGTCTTTACAGAAGTCATGGAAGAAGAAACCTCTCTCCTTTCTTTGGCAGAAACTTTATAAGACAGGTCGGGATATGCAGGAGAGGATCATGGACCTGCTCGTGGTGGTGGAGAATGAAGATGTAACTGTTGAGCTACTTCAAGTGAATGAGGATTTGAATAATGCCATCCTTGGATATGAGAGGTGAGTAGATGGTGTACCCTCTCTGACTCTCCTCCACTTCTGGTTTCACCACCAGTTATTCTGCATTCTTATTAGAGTGCCTACAAGGAAACAGATTTCTAGATTCTCTTCTCCCTCAATAGGAGTAGTATTGGCATTTTGGGTGGGATAATTTTCCCTTCTGTGGCCCCTACTCACTAAATGCCAGGGGTGTCCCTCCTAGTTAAAGTGACATTTCTAGACACCCTTGGAGGTACTGTTTCTGTTGAGAATCACTGGGAACGTTTAATTGCACAGTGGCAGTATTTCTAACCAGCTGATGAAGAATGAGACCAGTCTGACATAAGGGAAAGAGGTGAACAGGCCTGGATTTCAAATCTAGCTCATTATTTTGGATGAGTTGCATAACTTTTCTAAGACTTAGGTTGTTTTCTATTAAAGAAGATAATACCTATTTGAAGGGAGTTGGGTGTGTGTGTGTGTGAGTGTGTGTGTGTATTTAAGATTAAATGAGATAATGTATATAAAAGCACCTAGTGAAGTACTAGTACATTGATAGCTATTAAATATTCATTTCTTGTCCTCCTCCCCATTACTGTCCCACTGAGCCTTTGAATTTATCAACTAAGTTTCTTTTCCACTGATCACGAGTGAACCAGGAGAATCAGTGAAATAAAACAAGTCGTTTTTCTTTCCTTCACTGTCTCATATTTACTGCCATTTGGGACAGCAGCTGTTCATGTGAAAAGATGACCAGGCCTTGACTGATGTTAAGTAACCACACTTTCTTAGCACTGAACAAACTCTGAATCCCTGCCTGTTGTTTTCTGTGGTTCAAATCTTTGTAAGCCGAAAAATATCCAAGGAAAACCACATGGTTTTCAGTATAGTGCTGCCTTCAGTTTTTAATTTTGGAGAATTCTATTGCAAACCATAAGACCACTACCTAAAGGCTTTCTTTTAGAGGGAATGTGTGTATTTACTTGGTCAAGATATCAGGAGATTGGATTACTTCTGTCAACAGCTTGTTCTGATTCTTCTTTGAACCATGTGTGCCAAAGTGACTGTGGTAATTTATGTGATAGAAACATTTAAGTTCTAACACTCAGAGAGACAGTCTTGCCTCTAGAAAAGGTACTAGTCTGGTAGTTTTCTGTGTTTGCTGTAACAAATTACCACAAACTGAGTGGATTAAAACAACACAAATTTATTACTGTAAGATAATAATTAAGTTCTGTAGATCAAGAGTCTGAAATGGGTGTCACTGGACTAAATTCAAGGTGTCAGCAGGGCTACATTTCTTTTTGGAGAAGTCCACCTCCTTACCTTTGCAACTTCTAGATGCTACTTACTTTCCTTGGCTTATGGATCCTTTCCTCCACCTTCAAGGCCAACAATGGTTCAGTCCTTCTTACATCATATCACTTTTCCTTCCTCTTCTTCCTCTCTCTTCCACATTTAAAGACCTTTATGATTACACTGGGCTCATCTGTACAGTCCAGAAAGATCTCCCATTTAAGGTCAGCTCACTAACAAACTTAATTCCATTTCCAACTTTAATGCCCTCTTGCCATGTAACCTAACATACTCATTGGTTCTTTTGACTAGGGTGTGGATATCTTTATTCTGCCTATCACAGTCTGCCCTCTGGTCCCCAAAGATTCACATCCATCCTACATGCAAAATATATTCATCCTATTCCAGCATCCCCACAAGTCTCCACTCATTAAATTTAGAGAATAGTTGAGCAAATAAGGAAATTGAAATTTGTTATTCAGGGCTTGATCTGGGAAGATTGTTTATATGCAGCATATAATTGACTAGCATACAAGAGGACAATGCTATAAGACAGAATTAAAAAGGATTTAGAATTTTAGAAAAATCCTAAAGCTAAGTGCATGTTCAGATTCAGTATAAGCTTTTAGGACTTTAAAGTGTTTAGGCTCCTGGAGTCAATGTGTCATCATAGTAATACTGTACATTTCTAAAGCAACTCTGTCATGTTTATATTCATCCACCTATATTATCTGTCTACAAGGGTACTTCAAAAAGTTTGTAGAAAGGGGCCGGCCCGGTGGCGCACTGCTACAGTGCGGTGCTTGGGAGCGCGGCGGCGCTCCCACCGAGGGTTCGGATCCCACATACAGACCGGCCACTCACTGGCTGAGCGAGGTGCGGGCGCAACACCGAGGGTTGCGATCCCGTTGCCAGTCCCGGTCCAGTACAGGCGCGACACTGAGGGTTTGCAATCCATTGCCGGTCACGAAAAAAGATAAAAAGGAAAAAAAAAAAAAAAAAAGTTCATAGAAAGATTCATGTTATCTTTCAATTCTATTATTTCATAAACTTTTTGAAGTACTCTTGCATTTTTGCCCCTGAAAATAATTTTCTGAGGAAATAGTTCAAATGTTGTTATTCCCTTTTAGCAGTTGGAGAACTGAGGTTCAGGGAGTCATATTCATGGTTATGTAGCTACTAGATAATAATTCTGGCACTTGAATATTGGACTTCTGCCTTCAAACTTCAATTAGTTTTTCACATTTACCCTCCTCCTTTACCCTCTAAATCAAAGTTGTAAAAGGTCAATATTTTTATAGATATCAAGTGTCTTATAAAAATGACAATAAACAGGGAAACAGAGAAAATACTTTCAGTGTATTTGAATTTTTATGGAAATTACTTATAATGGAAAACCAGGAAACAACTTAAGTATTTGAAAATAAGAAGAATATTTAAAGGTGTGATAGATTTATAAGATAAAATATTACAGCCATTAAAAATTGTATTTCTGAATAACTAGAAAAATGCTTGCAACGTAATTGAATTAGGATACAGAATTATGTAAAGTATATTTCAACTAAGTTTAAAAATATTCACTTAGAAGAAAATATATCATAATGTGAATAGGGTAATAATTTCTGGGTGATGGGATTATTAATATTTTAGAATGCTTTTATATTTTCTTGCAGTTTTCTCTAAGGATGTAAAAATTATTAAAAGTATTTTCCTGGGAATTGAGTGGGGATGTGGCTGATTATCTTTATTCCTAAATAAACACACATTAATATTTATTAAATTTTGTAGAAGTTTCAAATCTGTTTTCTTTTAAATATTGGCATTTTGCTAATTCAAACAGGTTTACTCGAAACCATCAAAGGTATTTGGAGGAAAATAAGAACCAGAAGGAAGCCACCAGTGTAAGTAATTAGAAATGTTATGAAATCAACAATTGAACATTTTACCACTTGTACAGTAGAAGCAAGGCTTACCTAAAACAGGTTTTTTTAAAAAAAGGAGACATGCACTGACAATTTGGAGTGGTTTTGGTGGTGCAGAGTATTTCCCTGAATAATTTAATATTATTAAGTTATTATAAGAGGGCATAAGAAGATTCATTCATTAAACCGGTGGTAAGATGTGATTCATACTGGTGTTGTCTGTTGAATGGAGAATTCTTCCTCAAAATGCCTCTAAATGGGATCCTTCCCTCTTCAAAGGAAAGTCTATGGGGAGAAAGCCATGATAAACTACTTGACACGTTTTTTTTCTAAATTGTACTTTTGTTTGCTTTGTTTTCAGACTACCAGTGAGCCTTCTGCCCCATCTCATGATCTCCTCTACCTAAACCCCAGCCCCCCGATGACTAGGGCAACTCTGGGAGAACATAGCCCTATGAATGATCAGCTTTCAGACTTAAGTAAATAAGCATTTGGTCTTTGTAGAACAGAAGAAAAGCTTGATGTGAAACAATTCTCCTTGGTTTCATGATTAAATGCCACCTGAGAAAGGACTGAAGTTGGTTTGATTATCAGAGAATATCAGGAGATGTAATTTCTTCCTGGCAAATGGTTGGGTCAAACCCAGTACAGGAATGGCATGTATCTGGGGGAGGCGGTCCTTGAAACTCATCCCTCTGGCTTGGAATCTCATGGAATTCACTTGGCCTACTTTGTAGAGGTTGTTCAGCTTGATGGCCAATACTTAAATCTACTCTGAACCTACGCACTATTATCATTGGGTTTTTCTGCTACACCACAGCGTCAGGTAAGGGAATGTTTGATGCAGATGGAGAAACTCAGGAATTACAAAGCATGATCCACGTGGTGGTGAAATGTAGAGGGGAAAACACGCTTTAGAGTCAGAGAAGCCCACATTGAAATCCCAGTTCTGCCACCTCTTAGCCACATAACCTTTGAAACTTTCTTACTTTATAAAATGGGAACAAGGGTTTCCTTAGAGAGTTGCTGTGAAAGTAAATGAAGTAATGTTTATATAATGCACTGTAGGCTTGGGGTTATCTGTCTTATCTAACTTATTTGTTATCTTCTACTATTCATATTCCCACAGGTGGTGGTAAATTACAAAATAAGGATGGTGAAAGATTCTGAAATCCATAAGTTTTGCCAAACTGAAATCAGACTGTTCTTCTCTTAGGTTATCTAGTATTTTCAAAGTAAAAATATTCAGTACCACTGAATTTGTGGTTTTCTAATAACTTTCCCAGTTTCTAAAATGTTGGTTACTTACCAACAATAAATTTCAGCCAGTGGGACATGTAGATTTAGTTCTGTTGAAGAGTTTTCTCGGATTTTTATCAGGAACTTTCAGAGGAGGGAAAATAATTATTCCTTTTGGGGTATCTCACCTAAGATTATGGAAAGTTAAAGCTTGGAGGTGAGGGTAGAGTTTTGTATATACCATAACTTTTTACTTTTGTGCTGGGGAGAACAAGACCTGTAAAATCCTTTCCATTCTGGATTAGGTTGGGATTTCAGAAAACACAATCAATATAGTAGGTGTTACCTTTACAACAACCTCTTTTTGTGCCAGGGAATGTTTTCCTCTCTACCTATCATAAAGGAAGCTTTTTAATTTCTCTTAAAGGAAATCCCATGATTTTATGGTGATGGAAATACCTGTATTAATCTCTTAAATTTGGTTTTGTTGTTGTTTTTTTCCTTGGAAAATCCAGCATAACAACTGACTGAAAAAATATTTTAAAACCAAGCAAGTCCATTTTGTGTTCTAGATTTCAACTCTTCAAATCCTGATGTAACAAACAACTCAAAACCCAGTCTTTATCCACAGATGGATTTGCTAAACTTGGAAAATACAGAGATACCCATGTAAGTATGTCAGTATCCCTGCAGAACTAATACCATGACATTCTTATTCCTTGCATTTAAGTAAATGTGGCATAATATAAAAAAGTAGAGATTTAAGAATCAGACAGACCTGAGTTAGAATCTCAGCACTACTTCCTAGTAGCTGTGTGACCTAGGATACTTAGCCACTGTAAATCTTCAGTTTTCTTCTAGGAATACTTTCTAGGATTTTTACAAAGATTCAGTGAGTTTATGTTTGTAAAACTCCTAATATAGCAATTGGTACAAAATAAGTCTTCAGTAAATTGTCTTCGTTTCTGTTATTTTTTAGTGGTAACAGGAGGTAGGGGGAAAACTGGGGAAATACAATGACAAAGGAGAAGGAAGAGAAATTTAATTCAAAATTATTAAGAGTAATGGCCACACCAGTGATGGAGCACTTGCTACATACCAGGCACTTTGCTAAGTTTATTCCAAGTGATCTTCACAGAAGCTCTTTGGTCAGTGCTATTATCATTATTCCTATTCCTATTCTCAGAAGATACTGAGACTTAGGGAGTAGAACTTGCCCAAGTTCATATGACCAGTAAGTAGCTAGACTCACCTAAAAATATTAATGACCCATAAACATATGCAATGATGTTCAACTTTACTTATAGTTAGAGAAATGTAAATTAGACTATAAGACATTTTTTTTTATCTCTCAGATTGGCAATATACTTAATTTTTCAGTCTACTTGGAATCATCATTTAACCATTTAAAGTGAAATGTACACACTTGATTACCATATATAAGGATACTTCAAAAAGTCTGTGGAAAGATTCATATTTTCTTTCAATTCTATTTTTCCACAAACTTTTTGAATACCTTTATGTTATAGTTATCTTATACATTATTCCTCTGTACATTGTAAAGAAACCACCGACAGTGTTATAATGTTTGCTTGCAACCCTCAAATATAATTTAAAGACCTCAAGAAGAGAGGAATGGTCTATTATGTATACCCAATATTTACTATTTCTGTTGCTCTTCTTTTTCCTGCTGGTAGGATTTCCCTTCTCTCTCAGGAATTTCCTTTAGCAGTTCTTTTAGAGCGGATCTGTTGGCAGCAAGTAGAAGAGAGGAATGGTCTATTATGTATACCCAATATTTACTATTTCTGTTGCTCTTCTTTTTTCTGCTGGTAGGATTTCCCTTCTCTCTCAGGAATTTCCTTTAGCAGTTCTTTTAGAGCGGATCTGTTGGCAGCAAGTTCTCTTATTTTTACTTCATGTGATAATGCGTTTATTTAATCTTTGTTCCTGAAGGATATTTTCATGGGATATAGCATTCTGGGTTCACAGTTCTTTTCTTTCAACAGTTTTAAAAGATGGTTCCACTCTCCTGGCCTAAATGGTTTCTAACTACATTCATTTGAATTGTTGTTCCCCTATAGATAATATGTGTTGTGTTCTCCGGCTGCTTTAAATATTTTTTCTTTTTTTTCTAATCTTGAGCCATTTGATTATTATGTATCTAGGAATAGATTTTTTTTTTTCTTTTTTTTTTTTTGTTTATTCTGTTTGGGGTTGGCTGAATATATTAGTTTCCTGTGACTGCCATAACAAGTTACCATAAACTGGGTGGTTTAAGACCACAGAAATTTATTCTGTCACAGTTCTGGAGACAAGAAGTCTGAAATTCAGCAGAGCCACACTCCCTCCAGGACTTTTAGGGGAGGATCCATTCTCTGTCTCTTCCAAATTCTGGTGACTTGTTGGCATTCCTTGGCTTCCTTGGATTGTGACCACATTGCTCCAGTTTCTGCCCCTACCTTTACCTGGAGTTCTCTTCTGTATGTCTTAAATCTCCCTCTGCTTTTTTCTTTTAAGGTCACTTATTATTGGATTTCGTGCCCACCCAGATAAAACAGGATGATATCCTTGTATTAAGATCCCTAACTTAATTATGTCTGTTGAGACCCTTTTTCCAAATAAGGTAACATTCACAGATTCTGGGAATTAGGACATAGACATGTCTTTCAGGGAACAGCCATTTAACCCCACTGTATGGAACTTCTTGAATCTGTGGGTTTATGTCTCAGCACACTTGTGAAATTTTCAGCTTTTATTTCTTCAATTTTTTTTTTTTTTTTTTCTGAGCACTGCACACTTTCTGCTCTCCTCCTGGAACTCTGACACAAATATTAGACCTGTGTCATTGTCTCGTAGGTGTTTAGGGTTCTGATCATTACTTTTTTTCACTCTTCTTCTCTTTGTTGTTCTGATTGGATAATTTTTTTTTTCCTTTTTGTCTTTTTTTTCGTGACCGGCAATGGATCGCAACCCTCAGTGTTGCGCCCGTACTGGACCGGGACCGGCAACGGGATCGCAACCCTCGGTGTTGCGCCCGCACCTCGCTCAGCCAGTGAGTGGCCGGTCTGTATGTGGGATCCGAACCCTCAGCGGGAGCACCGCCGCGCTCCCAAGCGGCGCACTGTAGCAGTACGCCACCGGGCTGGCCCCTGATTGGATAATTTATGTGATCTGTGTTCAAGTTCACTATTTCCTCTGTCATGTCCATTTTGCTATTGAGCTCATTCTGTGTTTTGTTTTTGTTTTTTTATTTCAGGTATTGTATTTTTCAGTTTTAAAATTTGTTTGACTCTTTATATCTTCTTCTTTGAGACTTTCTATTTTTCCATATTTTTTAAGCATTCACAATTGTTTGGAACATTTGTACAATAATTGCTTGAAAATCTGTGAGATCATTTCAGTGTCTGTGTCCTGTTAGTATTAATGTCTGTTGATTTGTCTTCTCATGCAAGTAGTAATTTTTCTGGCTCTTCCTATGCCTAGTAATTTTGTATTATATCTTGAGCCTTTAATGTTTTATTATGAGACTGTCTTATTTGAATCCTGTCAGTAATGTTGATATTTAGATTTTAGTAGGCAGATAACCAAGTTAGATTAATGCCACAATTTCAGCTGTCTCAAAGTTTTCAAGACCTTTGTGGTGCTATCCAAATCTGTCCCACATATGTTCCACCCAGTAGCCAATCTAAGGTCTGGACAGCAAATCATGTTTAGTTCTTAACATTTTTGGCATCCTGACTGGGACCACATCTTTGGTTAAAGGGTGAAGCCAGTATTTTATAAGCACTTTTATGGGGTTGTTTTTCTGAATTCTTCCATCTTTGTGATTTCTCTGGTACCTTCTGGTTTCCTGGAGCTCCCCTTTTCACTTCTACAGTCATAAAGCCGGAGCTTTAGTTACCCTACTACACCATGCATTTCCTCAACTGTCCTTATGTCTGCAACCAAATGGCAGGACAGAAAGGAAAATAGGGGGTCCTTCCCATCCTCTTGGTATAGCATCTCCATCTATGGGAGAGGAAGATCCCTCTCACTCAGTTCCAACCTACAGGTCCCTGTTGCCTCTGCTGTACCTGCAGCCACCTTGGGGTTGCCTGTGATTTGGGGTGTGAGAACAGAGTGAAGAGGACAAAAAAGGAGTGAGGTATTTCCACACTCTTTGAGCATTAGGATTTCCCTTTCCTGCTCCTTGAGTGAGGATGAGAGGGCTTCTCCTGGAGCTGATGTCCTCGCTGAGGCCTACATTTGGGTTTCAGGCTGCATTGCATTTAGGTCAGGCAATACAAACGGGCAAGAAATGGTGAATTCACCAACAGTTCAGTGATACTCAAGTTCTAATTGTCTTTCTCAATCAGCCTTCTGCTATGTCCTTTTCAGAGTCCTCAAATAGCTGCTCCATGCATTCTGTCCAGCTTTAATAGTGACATTCAGTTGGAGAGACAAGGTGAAGCATGTCTGTTCCACCCTACCCTGGCCAGGAACCCCCTCAGCTTCCTTCTTAACCTCTGCTCTGCTTCTCATCCTTTAGAAATGATGGGGTAGTATAGCTACTCTGGTGGAAGGACTGAGGTTCTGTTCTTATTAGTGTGCACACTTCAGGATCTCAGGACTACTACTGCCAAGGGACAGTGCTTTGTATCTTTGATACTTGGGCATCATGACCTGGTAGGTACTGAAACCAGATGGCAACTGTTATATAAAAGTCACATTTTGTGCAGTCCGAAGGTACAGTTTAGGTTTTGTTTGTAGACCAGGAAAATCATCTTTCTTTTTATACTTGTGTTCTCACCGTAGGGTAATCATGCTGTGTTATCACACTATCCTAGGTTTGCCCAAAGGACCAGCCAAAACCTCGCCTCAGGTCATACATATGATAATGTAAGTAACAAAACTCTTTCCTGCCAGTTCACCTAGTCAGCAGATTATCACAGCCAAAAAAGAACTCCTGGTTATTCTTACGTTCTACTCAGTAACGTGTTGACACAGCTCTTGTTAGGACTTTTCCTTTGTCTCACTTCTGTTAGAAAGATGGTTTAAGATCAGCATTCCTTTAGGATTGTTTATATTTGCTGTCTCCACTTTCTTTCCTCCCATCCTCTGACAGACTTCAGATGGGCTATCATCCCTACCACTCTAAGGACACAACTCTTGTCAAGGTCCCTAGTGACTTTTGTATTATTAAATCTAGTTTGGCAATTCTCAGTGCGTGTCTTACCTGATTTATCAGCAGCACACGACAAAGTCAGTCACCTCCTCCTTTATGCACATGTAGCTTTCAGATACCTCTCACTTTGGGTTCTTCTCTTGACTTGCTTTCATTCTTCCTCTTCTTTGCTGTCTCCTCCTACTCTGCTGACCTTTCAGTGTTGGAGACCCCAGGGCTCAGGCTTCAGACCTCTCTATCTGCATTCATTCTTCCTTGGTCATCTGGTATCATTCAAATTCTGACAACCTACAAGTTCATGTCTCCAGCCCAGACCCCTTTCCTAATCTCAGACCTCGCAGATCCACTTTCCACTTAACATTTCCTCTTGATTTCTTCACAGTCCCCGCTCTCAACCTGCCCTTTCTGCAGACTTCTCACTTCAGTAAATGGCCACTCCACTCTTTAGAGGTGCTTGACTTCTACCTTTTTACCTTTTACTGAATGTATACGGAATATGTCCATTAGCCAGCCACTTGTCACCACCTCCACTTCTACATCCTAGTCCGTGCCACCCTTAGGTGGATGTTACAGTGATCTCCCTGAAGGTTGCCCCTCCTCCCCCCACCTTGCAATCTATTCTCCAAAAAGAAACCAGATATCACTCATCTGCTCAAAGCCTACCTATTTTTTTCTTCCTGTTTTACTCAGTAAAAGCCTGAAATGCTGACACGACCCTGCCCATTACCTCTCTTGCCTCTCTACCTTGACTCACTCTGCTCTAACCACTGGCATTTCCCCCACTTCAGAGCCTGTGAACTCTGTGCCCTCTGATAATCACAGGGCTTACCTGAGTCAAGGCCCTGCTTAAATGTCCCCAGTGGTGAAGCATTCCCTGACCACTGCCTATCAGAGCAGTATCCCACCCCAGCCTCTCTTCTCTTTACCCTGCATTTTTTATTATAGCACATGCCATTTGACATCTGTTTACATTTGTTGATTGCTCCATTAGGGAAGGGACTTGGTCCATTTTATTTATTCCTTTATTAATAGTTCCTGGCAGCTAGTGGGTGCCCAGGATATATTTGTATCATAAATGAGGAAAATTAATTAAGATTTTAATCTTTATCTTATCAGTCCTGATTTGATTAAATATTTAAGATTTTTATAGATTTAAGATTTTTTTTTCTGTTTGAGGTTAAGATTTTATATTCAGAGTGAAACAACAGAGAATCTGTACTGAGTCATACAATCCTTTTTTAAAAGCAACATTTTTTTTTTCACATTTTATGTGGGAAATGGGGTATAATGGGCATGAAACCAGACATAAAAGTAATAAATTTCAGGTGGCTGTTACCTAAAAAACTAAAGTAATAGTTAAAAGTTACAAGTTCTTGTCCAGTTGAACAATGGTTCTTGGAACAGTGCCACTTGGAAGCCTAGCAATCTAAATAATAAAAAAAGAAAAGCTTAATGTGGAATGTTTATTTCAACTTGTGTTATGCTTTCTTCAGTTTCCGGAACATTCAAATCCTGTATTACTACAGCCAGTTAGTCTGCAGACTGTTGCAGCAACACCAGCAAACCAGAGGCTTCCATCTTTGCCCAGTAATCATCCAGGTACACGAGACATTGTTATTTACATCAAATAAGTAAACTTGTGAGAATAAATCTCTGCCAGAGATTTATTGGTAATTGAAAATTAATAGGAGAAATTTGAGGAACTCATTTGCATTTTTAAGCCATATGAAGTAGATTTAGGGCAGATACCATTATGACTGACATTAGATTATAAAAATGCTTGTGTTGAACTGAATGATGTATTTTGAACATGAAGGAAAATGAACTTTTAGTTGAGGTTTCGAAATCTTTGTGTTATATATAGATTTGTTGAACCTGGGAGTAGCATTGGAACATTAGTCTGTTTTGGTTGTCTTTGTTAGGGTCTTATATTTGCAGTAGAAATTATAAAGAGAATATTAATTGTATATACTCGAAAAGCACAATGTGTGTTTACTGGTCTCTTTTTTGCCTAAAGCGATGACAAAGAATGATCTCCAGTCACACAATTACTACGAGGTAATGGAGTTTGATCCCTTAGCTCCTGCTGTCATTGCAGAGTAAGTCATTTACAAAATGATTAATTTATTTTTTGTCTTGGTTCCCTTTGATAGCAGAGCTAATAGGGCTTGGTTATATTATTTAACTTTGCTTAGGTCTTGGCAGAAATTGATGGCCTTATTTAAAATGACTTATGAGGTTTTATGGCAGCTGTTGCTATTAATGGTTTTATCGTTCCCAGACCTTCTGCCTAAAAACTAAAAACGCTGGGGTTGCACATTCAGAAATAACCAGAACTAACATGTGCATTAATGGATTCCTCATAGATGCCTTGGCAGAAAGTCAGGTTCTCTCCAGCTTGAGGACTATTTACTGATTGTTGACATAAGTTACCACACTGATGGGATGTTTTAGCTGTTTTTTAACAACTGATCCAAAAAAAATTTATGTAAGAACTTGTTTTTTAGTTTTCTCTACATACCACAACACTGTGCTTAAAATAAATTAATAAAGCATTAGTGTAAAAATTACTTTTTAACTTGAAATCCCTAAAGCACCATTATTTTATGATTTTAAATTGATGAAGGGCATATATTTACAGGATGGGAGGCTCATTAGAGCTTTAATGTACTTTCAGTGACTGAAGGTCAGCCCCAAAATTGTTCAAAATTATTGAAGCAGGTATACGGAAGTTATTGTTCAGAAACTAGCAGTATGCATGCTGTTATCTTGCCTGCAGTTGTGTATTGTATGCCTGTGCAGAATTTAAAATGTGCATTTAAAAAATTATTTGGCAAGAGTTAAAAACTGGGATAATTAAAAATAATAAATCTGGATTTCTTGATCTTTTTAATACCCTGGCAGCACCAGGCCTGCAGTTTTATGTGCCAGCAGTGGGTTGGGGCTGAGTAGTAGCTTGTTTCCTTTACGCATGTGCTCTGCCATCTCCCGAGCACCACCCGACCCCGTGTCTATTCTTTTCCTGGTATGTGTAGACATTTGATGTTTTGACACCCTGGTTTAAAGCCTCAATGTAGTGATCAATTCTGGAATAATTCATGATTAATATTAATGGACTTAGGAGTCCATTAAGTATTTTTTTCTAACTCAGGATTATGAAATTTCCCTAGGTCATTCTGTTTGATAAAGTAAATATGTTTTTATCAGTTTCTGTATCCAAATAGGTAGTGGAAAAGTTCTTGGTTATATTCACATTAATCAGGAGATTGCTGTAAGGAGATATGGTGGTGTAGCAGATACTGAAGGCACGCACGTGTGCGAGAGAGAAACAGAGACAGAGAGAGAAAGAAGGGAAGTTGGAGAGGAAGCTTTGGAACTCGACCACTGTTGTTCTCTTTCTCAGACTTAGAGTGTCTCAATTCCTTTGAAAGTCTCATGAAATCCAGAGAGTTCTCTCCAAGGAAGAGCACAGAACCGTAGAAACATTGTGGAATTTTCACATCACTTGTTGTCCATGAACCCTAGGTTAAGAATTTTTGCTCTAGCACGATATATGTAGTACATTTATGAAAATACACACACACACACACAAAATTCATTTATTTACAAATTTACTGAATATTTGCTATTTACCAGGGAATGTGACTGGTACCTAATTTGTGGTGTTGAACAAGAGACATGCCTCCTGTCTTCATTGAGGTTAAATATAATGTGGAGACAGAAATTAAATCAGCAGGCAAATACATATTTACAATTGTGTTAATGGTATGAAAAAATATGGTGATTTGAGTGTATAACAGGAAGAGCTAATTTACATGGGGGTTAGAGAAAGCTTGAGGAAGTACATTAAAGCTGAGAACTGCAATTGTTACTCAGGTGACAAGTTTGGGAATGAGGATTGCAGGCCCAGGGAACAACTTGTAGGAAGACCTGGAAAAAAGTTTTGGCACATTCAAGGAAATGGAAATGCCAAAGCCAAGAGCAAAAAAGTAACAGAGAGACTAGTACCAAATGTGGAAACTAATTTGGAAGCAAAAAGAAGTGAGCACATAAACATGAAGAACACAGCAGAGAGGACAAGATGAGAAGTAAAAACTAGATAATGATGGATTGAGTAATGTGGAAATCATTGGTGACTTTAGTAAAAACCATTCCGATGGGGACAGGAGCCAAATTTCAGTGTTAAAAGTAACTAAGATTAAATAGAGACAATAAGTGTAGATAACTTACTAGAACTTAAAGAGATGTATGGAAAGAAGTTTGGCAGCTAGAGGATTATTGAGGTGATTATTGCGAGTAGACATGGGACTAAGGACTGTACTGTCGTATAAAGTGGGAGATGCAGGAGCATCTGCGAATGCCAAGAGGCAGGGTCTAGTTTAGAGGGAGAGGTTGAAGACTCAGGAACGGGGGATAACCAAATGAGTAAAGTGTTTGAGAAATCAGGTGTAGATAGGATCACAGAAATAGAGGGTGATGCAAATGAAAATAGATTTGAAGATTTGGTGATAGGCAGAGGACATTTCCATATCAAAGCATTTAAATAAAAAGTGAGGTTTCTGCTTGAGAGAGATCAGAGGTTTGAGGATAGTGAAGAAGGTTGAAATAATTTTGTGGACGAGAGACAAAACTTTTTAGAGAAACATTAAATTGCAGGACCATCCTGGGGCCTCATGAAGTTGGTGATCATAGTTTCACAGTGCTGTGATTTTTGAGATTTTTTCCTCAGCCATGTTTTGCTACATTATATATATGAATGTCTTGGTTTTGGATATAGCTGTTTTCTAGCTACAGACACATGTAAGACATATACTCATATAAAGAACTGAATAAAGGATACCATACAGAAATTACAATATGTAGGTACAAAGATGAGTTACAAGCTAAAGGGTGCTCAGGAGTCTGGACTGTAATCACATAAGCTAAATAAGCTGGAATATTAATATACTTTTTAAATGTTTTAAAACCAAGAGAAACTGAACAGCTTGTTTTTTAAAGCAAACTGTCCAAATCTGAGCCATATTTTTCATATAAATCACAAGTAACAGTGAATTGATTTTAGAAGACACATTTTTAAGAGGCATGGAAATTACAACATTAGAATTTCAGAAGCTAGAATGTAAGCTTCAGGGCAGAGATCTTTGTTTTTATTCACTGATGTAGCCTGAATTCCCCAAACAGCCCCAGATTTTTAGTGATGGTGCTGGCAATTAAAAACCAAAATAGTGCTTTGAAATTGATATATAACCCTTTGTCGCAATGGCTTTTTTGTTTCAGAGCTATTTATGAAGAAATTGATGTTCATCACCACAAAGAAACTAAAAGTCATAGTGACTGTTGAGGTAATTCCACATTCCATATAATTTCAGTGTAATTATCACTTTCTGTATTTAGTATTTATATTTTGTTAGGGCCATCTGAGTCTGACACTTTAGTGAGTGAAATATTATTATACCAGATCCTCTGAGTCACTCAAATTGTAATGAACTGTTGTTCACTAATGAAATACATTCTTTGTGATCATGTCAGCTGGAAATAATGAGGCTGGGGAATACAGAAGTTGGTTTACAGAATAGAAGTATTACTGCCAACAAAAATATTTGATCAATACAAATTTCTTAGCACCAAAATCAGGCATTTGTCTCTAATGTGCAGTTAGTACTTGTTAACTGGTACCAGAATTCATTCATTGTTAGTCCTCCAAATAGGTCTGGGTTTTTCCTGTTTGCTGCACTAGTCATCCCATTTATTCACTGAGTGCCTGGTTATTAGTGACCTTTTAACCTTATTTATTCCCCTCACACCTCCTCCATGGAATAAGTAGTACATCTCCACCTCTTCTCCACTAGACTGTGGCTCTCCAGCCTCTCAGTGGAGAGAGATGAAGAAGAGTTATTAAGAAATGGGGAAATAGAAGGATAGGATGGAAATTGGCCATTTTCTTCTCTTTGTTATAGGTGAAAATGGCTGATCAGCTCGCTAGCTACATTGGAGGTGCCAACTTTCTAAAGGGTAGACCCTGTCCAGCTTTGAGGCCTGGAAGACAAGACCTACCAACAGTCAAAGGCACAGTAGAACATTTCTCCTCTGCTATAATTAAGTTTAAACAGAAGAGTAACAGTTCCAGGGTAATATTTATGGTTCCTGATAACAGCTCGAGATTATTTCAGTAGAACCTGGTTGTAACAAATATTCACTTCAGAAGAAAAATTATGTAGTTCTTGGGATAGTGTCTTATGTGTCCCAGGCCCTCCTACATTTAGAAAAGAAATCATCACAGAGCTGTGATAAGAGTAGGTTAAGATTATTTTACTGCAAATTTCTGAATAGATGTAAACATGAAATGTGAGAAACTAAGTGTATTATTCAGGAAGAATACTGAGTGCCTTCCTTTAAAGTTGAATGTAAAAGTCAATTTGCACTTCTTTATAAATACTGCTCTGGTTTAGAATTATGAATTATAAAAGCATTGATGATTGAGTTTAATTATATTTCAGATGTCCTGAACAGGTCACTAGATTCTGTATCAGGTGGTCTTTAAATATGATTCTTTATAATGCTCAATGTTTTTTTCTTTCTTTGTACTGTAATTTAACATTTCTATTTGAAACAGACTACTGGAAAACATTGAAAATAAATTGTACATTCATTTATATACATTTCAATGACAAATAAATTACTATTAAAATAATTTAATGCATTTTTTTTTTTTAGTCTATTCCCAGAACTTTTAATGTCAGTAAATCTTCACATCCCACCCTTACATGTAACATTCAGGGACTTGGAACTATGATGGTAAATGCTAGCAGCCTAGTATATATACTTCTGCATTTTATTTCAATTCCACGATACCACATTTTCAAAGTAATTATCTATATTCTGAATGTAAAATAGCCCTGGTTCTTAAAGGAAAAATAGTCAAATTTGAAATAATCTTTGAATATAATCTTTGGGTAAGCTGTTAGGGCTTAGGGATTCCTCTTCTACTTTGAGCTTTTAAAAAATAGTGACTTCATACTGAAGGAAAGTAGTAAGGTACTTCAAAAAGCTCACGGAAAGATTTGCATTATCTTTTCATAATATTTTTCCATGAACCTTTCGAAGTACCCTCGTATTTTACAGATAATAATAAACATGGTCAGCAATTCTGGCCTATGGCCTGAAACAACCCTGACCATAATATTAAAAAAAAAATTCTCAGATTAACCACTGCAAGTATGAAGGGCTAATAATTTGGAAGGGAACTACTGAATTAAGCTGAACCATCAAGTCCATATTTGAGAAACATAATTAAGCTGAACGATTGAGTCTGCATATTTAAGAAACAAAGCAGTCTCTTTAATACTATCAAACTATTAAGTATGGCATTGAACAGTCATAAATTCTAAATAGGCAGTGGGTGTCTTGTGATAAAAGCTGAACCTGTTCTCTAAATTTTAAGTGGGATAAATTAGTTCGGAGGAAAAAAAGAGTAGAATCATTTAAAATAGAAGGCTTTACATTATTGTAGAATATTTCTCTTCTGAGAAGACAGGATACATGATTTTTCAAAAATCACAAATTTGAAGCAGGATTTAGTTGCTGACTTCATTTATAGCCTGGAAGTGACAACTTGTGCCCTTCCTTTGCTTCAAAAAAAGTATAAGAAAGAGTGATGAGATCAACATTCACCATTCTTGGATCTTCAGCAAATTCAGGATCAATGTAGAAAAACACTGGCATATCTACTTCTTCTTGGGGATTAAGCCTTTGTTCTTCAAAACAGAAGCACTAGAAGTTATAGAAAAGGTATTTATTTAATAACATTTCTATTCCCTCACCTGCAACAAAAACTAGTAGTTCATTTCTTGACTTTAATAAGCATACTGTTAAATATAATCTTTAAGTTGTGTGACAGAATTGCAACATCTTTTCATCTCAGATTGAGTTTTGCTTTAAGGATTGAAAATAAACAAATTACCGTAATTCTAATCTTAAAATCAGATATCCATTTGGTCTGGCTCTCAATCTCTCCATAGCAAGTATAAACAATGAAGAAAAATAGCTTGAAGTTTAGAAGAAAGGAATTTTTAGAAATTACAAGTATTTACTAAAACACTAAGTTTCATACTGAACAGTTTCGTGTACCTTTATCATATTCTATAAAATTTGCATTTAGTTGTACCTGTATTTTATTGAAATACTGTCCAGCTTCAAATGGAACAACATTGTATGTAGAAATTCCAATTATGGGTTTGTCACTAGGATTCTTAGCTTTGTAAAACGCCAGTGCTGTCTCTCCTGGCACTACCTGTTGTAAAGAATACACGTTATCAAAACTTTAAATGTCAAACAGTTCTTTTTTCCCTGCTAAATCAGTCATTATTTTTCCTATGCATCAGACCGTACATAATACTTAACTGAAACTAAAGTAAAGGTGAGCAAATTGTGACTGTTACCCATAAACTTTTCTGAGTTTCAAATAATTTTATTTGCGTAAGTCAGTGAGGACCAATGCTCTATTACGCATAATTTGTTATGGACTGTCCTCTTGCATACCTGAGGTCTTCAAGCAATAATCTGAAAATTATTTAAAATGTGTCCAAGGACAAGCCAGGCATATCACAATCCAAACCTAACTTCTTTATATATACATTTATATCTGAATGCCATGATTTGACTAAATATTTTTTCAAAAGGAGACAACATTAAACTTACCTTACAACCAGAGAAAATTAAACTTACAATCTGACTGAATGGTACCTTTATTTAACCAAAAAGTGTTAATACTTTGTTTTGGGAAAATAAGTAAAATAGCAAGGCTTAAAAAAAAAATTCCCCAAAAATATTCTGTCATTTGTATCAATTCAGCCACTAAAACCTTGTTCACTAGCATGTAACTGGAACTAACATTCAAAATCATAACCTATAAAATCCTTAATCATTGGAGAGATTCAGTCATGTTTACTATACTAGGCAAGCCCTAATATTCATAAGTTTTCCAAGAAGGATTGAAATTAAGTCTTTCTGGCTAATCAGTTAATGAGATAACTCCAGTTAAAATCCTCACAGGATTGTGGTTAGTCAAAGTTTTAGGAAACTTTTTAGGTATACTCTTACTTGAGTACAACATGTCTATCTACTTTCTACTGATTATTTCAAAAGTCCTTAATTATTTTTTTTTCTTTTTGGACAGGGATACTTTTTAATATAAACCAGTAAACTACTTTTTATTATAACCACTGATTTTCAATATTTTTCCTATATCATCTAGACCTGAGGAAAAGTCAAGAATATATATAGTGTGACAACTACTGCTACTCCCAAGATTAGTGACCAGAGGACTTTAGTCCACTTTTAATATGATTCTAATAAAACGTGACACTGTCTGTTGTTCCAAACTGACTTTTATTATCAAGTAACTTAAAGTATGTATTTTGTTACACTAGGTGTAGGGTACTATAAAAAAGTATGAATAAAAGAATTATAGTAATGGAAACTGTATTTTGAAATTAAGTTTATGAGTGAAACAGTTTAAGTGATGAAAGGAATTTTTCGTTTAAAAAAAAAAAGCAATCTTTTAATGATTGCTCAGTCACTTACATATATTTCTGTTTGCTGAGGTCTAAAGTTCCATTGGAGACTTGCATGCACATCTGCATTGAAGGTAACTTTAATGATTCGATCCTTAACAGGTACCATGTTTTCAATCTGGTCTGATGCATGACCTGCAACTGCTGATCCTCCAAGTCCTGTAATCTAGAAAAAGATACTAAATACATTAAACAGTACTTTTAGTTGTTGATGATTTACTTATTGGATAAAAATAAAATTTTAAAAACAATTTAACTTTAATAATCCAGTTGGAGCCAATTTACATACTGTCACTGTTTCCTATAACTGTGTCGATGGTTTGACCACTTTTGGGGTATCAAGAGCCTATACTTGTCGAAGTCATTCCTATTTTTTAGCAATCCCTTGGCTATCTGGCATGGTCAGAAATGAGTCATTCAGGAAAAGCAGATTCTCTAGATAAGTGAATTATCACTGATAACAGAGCTCAGAATTTCCAGCTTACCCGTTTATTAAACATACTTCTCTTTATTGCTAGTATTTTATATTAACTATAGAAATAAAATTTACCCATGACCCGGTCATTTTAATGAAAATACTTAAATAACTCCATTTTTCTATGTTCTTGTCTGGTCCTTTTCCATATCATAACTTTTATAGTCCAAATTAGTTTATAGCTTCACTTCTACATTCTGCTTTTCTAAGTTATCTTAAGTATTTTCTCATGTTGGTGAATTTTTAAAAAAATTTTTTCTGTATTTCGCTGTATAGTACAGCTTTTACAGATATCACCTATTAATCAGAGCACCTAATTCCTTTGGTTACTGAATCAACTAATCACAGGGCATCAGGATAATCTGTGTCACACTCCTTCCTTCTTGCTGTTATTTCCTTATCAGATGCTTTAAAAAAGTCCTTACTTCCAAGGTCATCTTTCTTCTGATGCTTGAGATTGCCAGAATTCTGGTATCTGGATAGTTTATGTGTTACTATACTAGGACAAAAAAAAAAGCCAAATTTGAGGCTAGGGGGAGACTCCCAGCAAGAGACAGTATTACATCTTCTGCTTGTTACACAAGTCAACTAGCTTCAGTTAACTGCCATGCTACCTTATTTATTACATTATAACCCTAGAAGATGCATCAGAGGGCAAGCAAGCCTGTATCCTTGTTTAACAAATAAGTACATTCTTCTGTGTAAGAGTGCTATAAGGTTTGAATTTTAAGATTAACTCATTTTCCTGAAGAATTTGAGTCACTTGATAAAAATTTGTGTCCTCCCTCAATAAAGATTCCTCAATATGTTACTTGAATATGGATTCTTCATATTTCTATGTTCAATGCTTAGAGAAATTAAAACAGACAAGCAAAAATAGTAGAAAAGATGTCCTGGGCTCTAGTCTAGTTGTGCTTGACTAGCTCTAAGAACTAAATAAATCTTATTTTCTTTATGCTACACTTTACATGCTCATAAAATGAGGTCACTGTATTAAGTAATTTATAATCCTTACTTCTGGTTCCAGAATTCCAATTCCAAAAGTAATAGAAGTGTTCTTTTGGAAATATCACTGTTTAACATCGAACTTGATTTTGATGACAAATTACTTTTTTTAACCTTTCTGTCCTACGATTGCAAATGGGTGCGTGCATGCATGCACACGATTGTCAACTACTTCAGTTTAGGGAGCGCTTCTCAGCCTCTGCACTACTGACATTTTGAATTGGGGGATGGGAGGTAGAGTCCTGTGCAATGTTGGATACAGAGTGGCATCCCTAGTCTCTACTCACTAGATGCTAGTAGCACCCTATCCCCACCACCTACTCCCTCCACCCCCTGCAGTATGACAACCAAAAAAAAAGCCCTTTTGACTTCTGCTGTTACACCATCTAAAAAAAAGATAAGTTGATTTCCATAAAGACAGAAGAAGCAAGCCAGATGTTAACAATGTTAGCAGGAAAGAGCAGTAACCCCTGTGACAAATACCAGTCATGGTGTTAAACTAGTGATTAACAGACGTTGCTGCGCATTGGAATCACCTGAGGAATCTTTGAAAATTACTGATGCCTGGCTCCCACTCTCACTCTGATTAAATGGTAAGCTGTGTGACCCTTCAGGATTTTTAAAAGCTCTCCAGGTGACTGCAATATACACCAAAGCTTGGGAACCACTATCTTACCGAACACTTACTGAATGAAAAGTGTGTAGCTCTCACTTGTGGCCTGATTTTTAAACCAAAATTCCTGGTCCCTATCCCAGACCTCCTAATCAGAATCTCTGGGCTTGGGGAGCCCTGACTTGTGTACTTAAGGTGATTCTAATGCCCAATCAAAGCTGCAAACTACCAGGTAAGAACTATGGAGAAATATATGAAATAGGTGAACTTTGACTTTGCCAGTGGTACTCAAAATCAGCTACAGGACTTATTAAAATACAGATGGCTTGTCCTGCCCCCAGGGTTTCTGATTCAGCAGTTCTGGAGCTGGGCCCTAGAATTTGCACTTAGGTTCCCAGGTTATGATGATGCTGGTACTGGGGATCACGCTCCGAGAACCACTGCACTAGAACTTCTAAATCTAAATGAGAGCCCAGGGTAAGCACAGTACGTATTAACAGGGAAAAAGCTTAAAAGGCCGAATCCATGCCTATGTGGATGAACAGCCAATCCCAGTTTAAGCACAAGAAACACGAATGCTCCCATCTGCGGGGTTAACCTTAGCACATAAACCACATGTGGGTCGCAGATTAGTACATTTTAAAAGCGTGTGTGAGCAAGAGGATAAGGCCGACTGCTGAGACCCCAAGCAGAAGCTGCGGACCTTTTTTGATGAGATGTAACTCAGACATCAGGGAATTTCACTCCGCAGGGTGTTATAAGCACAAGTGCTACGGACAACTGAGTCCTAGTTGTTGTTTTGCCGCCAATTTCCTTGGTGACCTTGGGCAAGGCACTGTTTTGAGCCTGTTTCCTTTTTGGTAGATAACCTTGGCATCCCTTGCAAACGCCCCACAGAGCGATGGCTGTCCAGGCTTTTGTCCTGCACGTCCGCCCCTCCTGATCGCTCCGCCCAATGGGCAGCACCGGCCCCTACCTGGCAATAGAGCCGGTAAAAGGGCACGGCGGCGTAGGACGCCCCCAGCATGCCCACGGCGGCCGCGGCCACGTATGTCAGGACCGTCTTGTTCCGCCGCCGCCAGTCCTCCTCCTGCGCGCGCGTGAAAGGGTTCGTGCTCTTCGGCCGCCGCGGCGGCTGCACGGCTGGGTCGCGGGCCAGGCCGGGACGCTCCCATGTCCCGAGCCGCGTCAGCCCCCTCTCAGCACGTCCTGTCCCATTCCTCCCCGGCCTGAGGAACGGCTGTACTCTCTCCGCAGCCCTGGCGGGGGACTCAGGGTGGCTCCAACGCCAGCTACAGAATGCGAGGCGCCTCCATTCCGGATGCCAGAGCCCTCCCATAACCCCCGGAAAGAACGCCCGCCTGTCAGGGACGGGAGGTCAGATATCGCGATGCCTGTTCTGTCTCGCGGTGTCTGGGTTGGGCCTTCCGCTGCCTTGGCTACCAGGCTCCTCAGGTGGCTTCGCTTGGAGTCGGGCTACGGAGGCCGGGTTGCCAGATTACGGGTAAGTTCGCGTTTTGCTTCGTGAGCGTGCCTTCCACTTTGCTTCTCTCCAGTGCTTCTCTAAGTTACTTTTAGGAAACGCGTTTCGCTCGTCCGCGTGCAAGCTTATCATCATTTGGGATTGTGCCCCTGATCTTCCTAAACTCTAGCAGCCTTTGTCTCAACCTAGCGGTCCCCAGCGGCAGCTCATCCGCGGCCCTTTCACTGGGGTTCGCTGGCCCCTGTGCTTACTGCCCTTGCCTTGAGCTCAGGCGCCACCTCTGTCAGGAAGCCTTCCAGTGTTAACTACGGCCCTCTTGGACACTCACGACATCTGCATTTTCTCAGCCCCTGGGCAATTGGCTTCCCCTGCTCGGATGCCCCTTTACTATTTGTCCAGAGAGAATCACCACAGCTGGAGCGGGAGTGACGCTGTCAAACTCAAGTTTGTTCAGAAGACAGTGACCAGGATATGAGGATCATTGAAGGGAGGATTGAAGGAAATGGGGATGTTCATCTTGGAAAAGAAACCCATGGGGGATGTAATAGCTTTGTTCGGTGGTCCCACAGGACAAACTAGGACCTGAGGGGTGCAGACTGCATACTTGATTTACTGTAACAGAAGGAAGCATCTTTCTAGAAACTATAAAATAGTTGATGAGAGCTCAGGTTCTGAGTTTAGGCAGTTCTGGATTTTTACCCGGGTCCTCACCATCACCCTGTGTCCTTGGGCTAGTTATTTGACTTCTCTAAAACCTAGTGGCCTTATTTATAAAATGGAAATCGTAACAGTGACAATATGCATATAAAATGATTTTCACAGTGCCTAAGGCATAGTAAGAATTTAGTAAAAGTTAGGCTTTATTTCTAATGGCCAGAGCCAGTCTAATTATCCCCACTTTATGAAGAAGCTGAAGGCTCGAGAAACTTTAAGTGATTCAACATTTATTTATTTCACTCTTACTGTGGGCCAGACACTATTCAACCTGCTGGTGCTATAGCACAGAAGTCAAACAAAAGATCACTTTTGTTATGGTGTGTGCTTTCTCCTGAGGGACTCAGGAGATAATCAAGTAACATAAATAAATGAGGGAATTTCAGGTAACAGTGAGTGCATTGAAGACAAAAGCATAATGTGATTCAGTGATGAGGAGGGGTGGTAAACTAAGGTGTTTCTGCAGAGGTGACATTTGAGCCTCCTGAAGAATGATAAGGAGCTACCTACACAATGACAATTCTGGGCCATCTAAAGTCTCAGAGGCAGGAAATCGCTAGATATGCCTGAAGAACAAAAAGGAGGCCAGTAAGTTCCTAGCATAGTGAGGGGGGTGGAAAGTGGTAGGAAATGGGGTCAGAGCAGGTATTCGGAGGCCTGATAATACAGAGCTTTTTAAAGGGATGTCCAAGAGTTTGGTCTTTATTCTAAAAGTAATAGTAAGCTATTGGAGTGTTTGAAGCCTACAAATGATATGATTTGATTCACATTTTTTTGAAAAAAGATATTGGTTACTTTGTGGAGAATGGATTAAAGGGAGTGGAGACAAGAATGGAAGTAGAATAATCAGGAGGCAATTGCAGTAGTCCACGTGAGTGATGATGGTCACCTTGAGTGAGTAATTGATTAACCTGTGGTCACCAGGCCAGAAGATTGCAGAGCCAATAAAATCCAACTCTTTTCTGACTCCTTTCTACTCTGGCACAGTCTCCAAAATTTCAAGATTCTATGATTCTACAAACATATTGTATTATAATGATATTTGAAATTCTTTTTCATATGTGTGTACCTTGGTTCTTATAGCAGACTGTCAATTCTTTCAGGAGGAGACCTCTCATATTTTAATTTTCTTATAGTATAGACTCAAATCCAATTCAAATACAAACATTCTTCAAGCCAACAATAAATGAGCATTGTTTTTCTCCAGGCACCCCTTCCGTATAGCTCCAGGTTGCAGTTATAAATATATGTCAGTAATAGTGTCTTTGTCTTGGACTCTCTGTTATTTATTTTTTTGTAATTGCAAAATGGAACTATCATTTCTAAGGTACAATAATTGTGATAGCAATAAAGTGGTGTTGGTCTTTTAGCTTTACTGCTTTAGTAAAACAATATATGCATCATATCTGATCTTAATATGATAATATGACAATTCATGTTTATGAAATACTTATGATGATGATTAAAATATTTTGGTATTTCACTTATATTGAGAATGTACTTTGTAGAATATCATTTAGTTCAATCTCCAATTAACTTTTCACTTTGAAACAATTTAAAGTTTAAATAAAGGTTGCAGAAATAGTATACAAACTTCCCACATATTCATCATCTTGATTCTCCAATCTATAACATTTTTGCTCCATTTGAGAATAGATTGCAGGCATGATGTTCCAGAACCATAAATGTAATACTTACATGTGTATTCATAATTATGAGGACACTTTCTCCTTCATAATCACAGTATAGGCATCAAAATCAGGAAGTTATCATTAATCCAGTATTACCATGTGTAGTCAGTTTGGGCTGCCATAACAAATACCACAAACTGGGTTGCTTAAACAACAGACACTTATTACTTATAGCTCTGGAGGCTGGGAAGTACAAGATCAAGGTGCTAGTTGATTCAGTTCCTTGTGAGGGCTCTCCCTGGCTTGCAGACGTCCACCATCTTGCTGTGTCTTCACATGGCTGGGAGGAGTGAGCAAGCTCTCTGATGACTCTTCTTAGAAAGATGTTAATCCCATCAAATCAAGATCCCACCCTTATGACCTCATTTAACCTTAATTACTTCCTTAATCCATATACAGCTACACTGGGAGTTAAGGCTCCAACATATGAATTTGGGGTGACACAAACATTTAGTCTTTAATACTGTGTTATCTATGGACTCTATTTAAATTACCCCATTTGTTCCAGTCCTTTCCATTTTAGGTCTAGAATCCAATCCAGGATTACTCATTGTTTTTAGTTGTCATGTCTGTTTAGTCTTCTTTAATCTGGAATACTTCTTCAGTCTTTACTGGTTTTTCATATCCTTCATGTATTTGAAGAATACCAGCTGGTTGCTTGGTATAATGTCCCTCACTATGGGTTTGTCTGATGTTTCCTTGTGGTTTATGAACCTTTTGCAAGAGCACTACAGAAGTGATGCAGTGCTGTTCTCAGTGAATTCTCTTAGGAGTCACATGATGTCAATTTATTCCATAACTGTGATGTTAACTTTTATCTCTTTATTAAAATTGTGTCTGCCAGCTCTCTCTATTATAAGGTTAATTAATAAATATGTAACACTTATTAATTAATAAGTAAGCAAATTAACCATTTTGTGGGGAGAAGCTTGGAGACTGTATTAATATTTGTTTTTCATCAATCTTCTACCAGATTTAGCATCCATTGATGATTCTTGCCTGAATCTGTTATTACTGTGATGGATGTCAGATGACAGTTTTGTAATATTATCACTTCTTCTAGATTTATGTTGGCATTCAGCTGTAAGGTAGAGCTTCTCTTTCTCCTCTGTATATGTTTTATTCATGTATGTGTTTATATCAGTGTAGACTCATGAATTCCTATGTTAATCACAGATTAAAACTTATTACTATCAGTTTTTATTCTGATTTCAAATTTTCCTAGACATGGCCAAGTAGAAGCGCCTTTTTGACATGTTCCTATCATCCTTTTATCACTTTCTTACTTTCTGCTACAGCAAGATATGCCAGGCTCATCTTGCATTTTCCTGTCCTAGCCATGGAGTCAGCCATTTCTGCAAGGAGTTTCGATTCCTTTAGTGGGGAGTGTTATTTAGAAACAAAATCTGGGCACTAGAAGTGCTCATTGATACTGGAGTGCTATTTCTAGACCTTCTCAGTAGAGAGAACTAGACAGTTTAAATACATAAACACATACAGATAGGTGTATGGGTGTCCAACAGTGAATCCAAATCCAGCTACCATTATCTTCAATGTATATACTTATTTGCTCAATCCTCCCTGTATGTAAGCACATTACCATGGCAGAAAGCTTCGACCCAGAAATGTGAGCTCATCTCTGCTTGGCACATCAGCTCAAAGCTGGGCATTGGATATGTCACCAACTGGTCACCATCTCAGCAGGACAGAAATGAGGAGGAAGAAGGAAAGAGGAAACTCTAGGAAGCTAAGTTCCAAACATTTTAGAAGGAGTAAGAGAAAAGAAGAAAGGCCAGTTAGGAAGTTTGGTTCTAGAGACATAGGCCCTTCTTCCTACCCTTTTAGCAAGCTCAGTCCATGAAGGAGGCAATCTCCCAATTTTACTGTTGAGGAAATGGGCTTAGAATGATGAAGTAACTTGACAAGGCTTACTCAGTTGAGTAGTGGCAGAGCTGGAACTTAAGCTTGGATTTTTTTTTTTTTTTTTTGACTCCTTCTTGCTGTTTTTTACTGCATCTTGTAGAGAGCAGATTTGTGATGGATGACAACAAACAAGAAAAACACAGATTTCAGCATTAGGAAGTATTTCTGTACTTCTGCTTCAGTTAAATCATCATTAATGTGATTGCCTGTTTTTAAGATGGTACATTTTAAAATTATTTCCAAGTTAGAACAAACAGTTTAGACAGTGTTGAACATAGGATTAGGGTCAGAGACCAAGGTTTAAACTTGAGTCCAAGGAGTTCTTATGATAATAAAAGGTCTAACCTCAAAATATGCATAGGTACAATCATAATGGAACGTTGGAAAATGCTGAAATACGTGTTTTTCTCTGAAGGTTTAAACAAATTCATAACCCTGGGCTGCAATTCTTGTCTCAGTGTGCTTGTGGTAATGCATAAATCATTGTGATATCTAATGCTAAATAATGGGGTTCACTATGAATAGAATAGGAGCTCCTTAGGGCAAGGCTAGTCCAATCCTGTTCTGCAGGTATAGGTGTTGATGACACACTTATCAAGGATCAGACTGACATTTCAAACTTAACACCTTTAATTTGAAATATACTTCAGCAGTAAATAATTAAATTTTGTAAACTCTCTCTAGTTAGCTATG